TTTTAAACATATATAAATATTCACATATATATAAATATTTTTAAAGCTTTTTTTAAAAACATATTTTTTATTTTTATTATGATTTATTTGTTTTTTTTTTTTCAATTGTTTCTAAATTTAGTAATGAACATCGAACGAGTATTAGTCAGTCAGTAAGATTGGAGTAGCGAGTGCTACGGCGATCAGAGTGACCAGAATTTGGCTTACACACTATCCTAAACTCTACGATAACGATGATGATGATGATGAGTAACCCATTCGCCTGAATYGGTTATGGGTGATTCATTGCTTATCTCTATCAGATATCTAAGGAATCAGCCAAGTAGTCGAGTGGCTGTTATGTGAGTAACCGATATTTTAATTAATCACTGTTAAGCTAATTAGTCGATTAGCCATGATTATGCTGAATTTTCACATGTGACACGTGTGCGTGATAAGAGGGAGAAGGATTGTAGGAAAGAGTAGGAGAGAGCGAGTGAATATCTCACGAGCTTCTAAACAATTAACAAACTAGATATAGTCGAGTCCCGATAATTCGAAATGGCAAGGGGATCCGTTTGTTTTCTTTCGTATTTTCGATTAAGCGGCGCAAAATTACAACAAATTATCACAACTCGAGACTCGATTGCCCATTTATTCCCTGAACAACGTAACCAAATGGGAAAGTAAGAGATAAAGATAGCGAACAATATAAATCGTTTAGTTAGTTGTTATAAACTTAAGATAAATATTATACATATGTTCTTATTCGCTAATATTCAAAACAAACGACTTAAGCGCTCGGTTCGAGAAACCAATGAGTAGTTACTAAAGACTCGTTTACCTAACCAGGAAACCAGCGAGTTCTATGACCCAATCCTCTTAACTAACGAGTGTGATATAATCCATTTAATTCGTTTGGTAAATTTTTAATATAAAATGAGCTACGAGCTAACTATGCAGCTGCAGATCTTCTTCGCATATGTGGCTTTAGTACAATTATCAAGCTTGAAAAATCAAATTCAATAAACTCAAATTATCGATTTAAATCGATTAAAGGCGCTTATATATAATCTATCATATACAATATTATTGTTGTTATTGTTATTAAAATAATATACCCAACATTACATTATCACTTTCAATAGGGCATGAAGTCAAGAAGCTCCTCTTGAATCTATTTCAGGCACTTAATGGTCTTGTTTATCTTAGCAGCTAACTCTGCCAATAATCTATTGATATATTTTAGTGTGTGTGCGTGTGTGTGTGTGTAGCACACCTGCTGCACACCCACACACTGATAGACACACGCACAGCGTATATTTACAGGCCTTTATTTTTGGTGTTTTCTGAGAACTGCCTGATTAAGAGAACAACAAAAAGCCGCATGACTGTCAGATACGCCATGCCACGCCCATTGGGCGACCAGAAAAACGGCCCACATCGATGAGCAAACAAAAAACGACAGAAAAACACGCGAATTGGCCCATTGATAAGGCAAACAGGTGGGCAAAAATATAACGATAAGAGGAAGCAGCAGCAGGGGCAGTGGGAGCAGCGGCAGTGCCGATCAGCGATGTTAACTGCGCTTTAGCCATATCTTATCGATAGAAATTGTTTCAATTGCCAGGCCAATTATTCGCACAGGCATACAGAAACAAACAGACAGAAAGACACACAGACACACAGACAGACAGAAAGACAGACGGGCAGGCACAACAGGTAGCTAATTGCTCTGGCTCACCTGTGCTCCGGGCCAAGCGTCTCGGGCAGGGAGAACTGTGTGGCCACTTGTTGGCGCCTTAGCTGAGGCAGTTGTTGCTCTAGTTGTTGTTGTTGCTGTTGTTGTTGTTGCTGCTGTTGCTGTTGGTGCTGTTCGTTTAGAGTTGTCGCTGCTGTTGATTTAGGATTGTCGCCAGCTGCTGCTGCTGCTGCTGCTGCTTGTTGTCCTGGCAGCTGCAACGCTGCCATGGAGCCAGTTGCACGCTCATCGACGGCGCAGCTGTTGCCACTGACGACGCTGTTTGTCGATCTGTTGATTAGCCAAAGAAAACAGACAAGCGCACAGCCACAAGAGCCGAGCGCGGCCAACGCGGCGTATGAGTAACTTGTGCCACATCAGAGCAAACATAAACCAAACACAAATTGTTGCATGCTTTTAGGCGGAGACATGAAAATGCCGACAAACAAAACAAAACTCGCTTTGGGCTCTATGTGAAGGCGGCGTGTGCGTGTGGCTGYCTGTGAATGTGCTCGTGTGTGTGTGTGTGCGTGTGAACTTTTCGAGTATTTAGTCTTCACATATACATCTACGGTGTATGATGTATGAACAGTCGTTCGTATCACTCGTTAATATATATTTGGATATTACAGTCGAGTTTCGATAATTGGAAAGCGCAAGGGGATAGTTTTGTTTTCGACTTGCACAGAAATTCCAATTATCGAGACTTATCGATAGATTTTTTTCTTCGATTTATCGCAATTTTAGATTTAGCGGGGTACAAATTCCCGAAATTTTACTGTACTTGTTACTTTACAATATATATCAAGTATTTCGTATTTCGATTGGCTGTAATTGTATTATGAAACGAGTTCAGCTTTATTTCTTCATGCTTCTCATTATCGATTACACGTTACATCCCAATCGTTGCTCGTAGTGAATGAGTATTCTGATTTATTTTTATTCGTTATTTATTACTCGTCAGATATCAGTCGTTACTGACTTGATATTCTCCAACTTTCACATTACTCATATTACTCGCTCCGTGGAATCAAAAAAAGAGAAAGCTAACATAAACTCTTCAAAGTAATTCGCTTGAAAACATTCATATAGAATCTTCACTTATCTATGATTGAGAAATTTTAGCTATTTGTCCTCAATTTTCTATATGTGCTCTAATCTAGATAGAACAAATATCGGATTGCATAGTTGTGGAATTGAAATACCCTTGTAACATAAATGGTTCATTCTATATTTATTAATTGCAGCTGTTTAGCTAATTGAGAAGAGCAGCATGCAAACTAATTAAGCTCTAGCAAAGCAGCTCAATTAATTGATGAAATTGTTATG